AATGTGACTGGCCACACAGACTTCCGTACGCTACGTACGCTACGTTCCCTATGTCAGCTGCGTCGCAGAGTGTACACAGCGTACGTAGCGAACATAGCGTAGCGCTCTGTATGGCCGAACCTTGACACTGCCCAAGTTCTCTAAGATTTGTAGTAGTACAGCATATAGAATAAAAACAATTTCAAGGAATAAGTGACGACAGTAAATTCACATCACACATGAAGTCTTCTTTTCACAGACTAGTTACCTTCCCGCCATTATTCTGCAACTGCAAACTCAATTCAATTCTCCTGCTCTCAATTTCTCTCAACTGAACGCTTTTTATAAAAACATTGCACGAACCACGCAGAAAATGCAGCCTCTTTCTTAAGGAAACGTGTTTACTGATCCGTTGCCTATCAGTGGATGTCATATTGTTGCGCGTTTTGGCTCCTGCGGGAATGTGTTTACCGAGTCGTTGCCTAGCAATGGATCTATACGTCACAATACATTCTGTTTTCTCCTTAAGTTGGAGGAACAGACCGAAAGCTTTTGACATTTATATTCCACTTGAATGAGAATGAAATCCTCATTTTGGAATAAGAGAGAGAAGATATATTCCAACAGACAATACATAGTTTCAAAATTTATCCGTTGTCCTTCTTAACATTGCTAGACAATAATGGTATTGCCTTATTGGACACAAATATACAGGAAATTGATTTTATTATGTTCCATGTTTGTAAGTAAGATGTGCTATTGTGACAGCATTGACTCTTTTCCACTTTTTCTGTATTTGTAATCAGAGAAGACGTAGGGCGCAGAGGAGCCGGTCTGCCTGTCTGTCTCTCTCTAACGACCTGCATATTTCATCGATTTGATAGGGCATTTGACCAATGTTCATACGGACCACTTCAGTGTGCCCTGCACTAACTTTCGTTAATACTGTCGAGATTAAAACCCCTGACTACTGAAATTAAATTATTTTTGTAATTTCAACTCAATTACCTTTGTAAATTAAACTGAGTTAGTTTTGTAACTAAAATTGAGTTGCCTTCATAACAATGTTGAAAGAATTATATAAAACTGTTAGGGTTCTGCGCTTTTACATCGGAAGCCGTGTGAATCCTACATCTCTACGTTTAAATACTTGTTTCTATCTATCTATCTATCTATCTATCTATCTGTCTATCTATCTGTCTGTCTGTCTGTCTGTCTGTCTGTCTGTCTGTCCACCCATGGTTACAGACCTTTTGTTGGACCTTGCCCGCTTTTCAGTTTCTTGATCTTTTACACGGTCAGTAGGGCTCTTTGGACGAGGGATCAGGCCGCTACCTGTACACACAAGGCAGCATGAATACGGAATAAACGCACACAGATAGCCATGCCTCAAGTGGGATCCGAACCCACGATGCAAGTGCTTGAGCGGGCGAAGGCACTTCACGTTTAGACCGCGCGGCCACTGTGAGCGACATCTGCTTGTATCATCAAACCCGGTTCCGTGATCTCCTATGCACTCCCTTTAAGTAGCATAGATCCTGTGCCCTGAGAGCATACACGAGGCGTGGAGGTAGTGGTTCACTCACTTTAAAATGATATTAGAGAGAGATGAGTAGCCGGAATGACAGTCCAGCCGCTTAGTTCTCTAAAATTCATTCTTTATTAATGAAGAGCTTATTTCGGTGCAAACGAATCTTTCTTGTATTCAGCAGGCATACGGTTTGATTATTTGTCGTTTATCCCAACTGGCTATACCTGTTATGTCTCTTCGTGTTAGCGAATTTCGGGGCAGGACAATGAAACTGTCGCAGTCGCTTCCTCTGCCGTCATTAAGGATGCAATAACCCCCTCGTCTGAATGAATATCGCTGATATAGCACCATTTCCATACGAACAAGCTTTTCGGTAAGAGGCTGGAGTGCCCAGTGCTGTCATGAGAGGGGTGGTGGGGAGAAGAATCTCGTCACCCCCCACCGGAAATCAAACCCCTGCTCTTCACTGCTATGAAAGGTGAGGATCACTCCTGGCTTCATAGTTCTTAAAATTAACAATCATATGCTTATTTTATAAAATAACGTTTGATATAGGCTGGAATTGAATGAATCTCAATCATGAGTCGGGAGAAATCTCCGAGGGAAAAACCACTAAACAACAAACTCCGTGACCTATAGTCAGCAATCGAACTATACCGACCTAGCGACCGCCGCTTGTCGGCGAAGTTAGTGCTAACTATAGCGGATAGAGGGTGTCACTTGGCCAGCGCAATGGATTCCCTTCGGCCGTTAACCTCGACAGACCACTGTTACTTGACACCTGCTAGACGTCCTGGTAGTACTAGTGGTAGCAGTAGGTGTAATGGTAGTAGTAGTAGTAGTAGTAATGATAGTTTGGTGATAGTAGTGCTGGCATTAGTAGTAGTAGTAGTAATGATAGTTTGGTGATAGTAGTGCTGGCATTGCATTAGTAGTAGTAGTAGTAGTAGTAGTAGTAGTAGTAGTAGTAGTAGTAGTACTAGTAGTAGTAGTAGTACGACGCATTGCTTCCCGCATATCTGCTTTTAATAAAATCAGAGGCTAAAACAGGTTAAATTACATTTAAACTTTTGTTTGTCACTTGATATTTTTGGATCAAAGCCATCTTCATAAATGGCTCGAACTATTTTATTTCAGAAAATTGAATTTGGAAAGAAAATTTGGTGATCGTTTGAATAGTTCAGCGGCTATGTTAGCTGATGGGTGAATGTTCAAAACGAAGCGCTTTTCTTGTTGACAGAGTTTTCACCACGCACAAATTATAAACTGATTTCTGGAAACACCGGTACGGTGGTTGATGAAACTTAAAATGTATTTCGTAGATTTTTTTCCGCTTTTTAATCATTTAATTCCTTAATTGTTTCCAGAAATGAGTTTAGCGACTCGTAGAGCGTCATAACCTAAATAGCAGTAACAAACGCAGATAATTAATTATGAATTGGATCAAGCTGAAGATTCTTATCCGTAAAGTTGGAACAGAAGGAACAGAAAAAAATAAACGTGTGTATTCATGACGGGCTACAAGAAGCTTAGGAACCCCGAGATATGTCACACCGACCCTCCTCAGTATTGAATATAACAGAAATGAGGGTGCTTCCTTCCCGGGCACGATACTTGCATTCTGGGCTCCAATTAAACGAAGCAACTCCTTGTCCTCACCTCGCCTCGCCTCGCCACTCCTCACCCCCAGCACCCCCTACCTCCGAAACCACTATAAGCGTTACCACAATCAATAGAGACACGACTCACCTGAAGCTTGCGCACTCTGCCCTCAGCAGCCCCCGCTGATAAGCCCAAAATATAATATTTCATAGCTTGTGTAGAAATCAGCAGCTTTGACGCCTGCTTGATATGTATCACGCGAGACCTATCTAGTTCTGGTGCCTCAGTGATGAACGGAATGTCTGGAGGTCAGTGGAAGTCTACTCACTTACTGGAATTTCATTGACAAATATAAATAATACATCTGTTCCAAGTCACCAATGCCGTACGACCTATCCGAACAGAAATCACAAGCATTGGTAAATCTAAGTCAGTTATCACTTCCGAGTCACTCATACATGCATCTCTACTAGGATTCAGATCGGCAAGTGTTACAGCTACTTTATCGATCGTCTCAGTTAAATGTTTAGAATTTCTGTTTCGTGTTCAACTTTCGGCTCAGGAGTAATCTATTCTGGAAGATATTTTTTGCAGTTTTCATTAGTCTCCCCAGAAAAATGGCGTGAAAGTACTGAAATTAGTTCTTAGTGGTTTGTAACAAATGTTACACGACGGATACAAAACATAACTTGTTTGTATAAGAGCAGGTGCAGGTTGCTGTGACTTTTAGGGAACCTATTGAGTGGCTGTCATATTTCGATTGAAGGATTGTCGAGTAATTCTTGGAGATCCCAGTGAATTTTCGAAACAATACGTCAAATAAGTTACATCACTTCCCTCACCACACGTTTTAATTCAGTATTCATAAACATCCTTTCCTTTCGTACAGTTTTAGAGCACAATTTTCTGTACAAACATTATTAATTAATACGTTTTCACATGTATGAGTGACTATAGAAGGTGTGTGGATTAGTAATTTGATATATTGAACACTTACAGACCGTAACTACAAGCAACTATAGCGCTGTCTCTAATTCACATACTCTACAATTCACTACAGCACATACTAAGTCTCCTCAGTCTACTGTGTCTTCTCAGTCGTTGCCTGGTGATGGATCTCAACAATGTCCTCTGCTATCATGCTCACGTTCTTACCGGCTGGCGACTCTCCCATAACTAACCCATTGCTCCAATTATCTTGTTTATAAAATATTGGCACGGACCGCGTAGAGATCCCCGCTTCCCATCATTGTATCCAATTTTTTTCCGTGAAAACACGATTGTTTGCGAAGCCGTTACTTAGTAATGGCCATCTCTGTTGGATTCACGGTTATTGCTTTGAGCAAATATACCCCAATATGGTAAAAGAGGTGACCCATTTGCATGCGAGGACAATCTTAACCTCGGGGAGTTACAGGTCAATTGTCAGCTCAATTCCCCAACTGACATGCAAATAAGTTTAAAAAAGTTATCATAAAAATGGAACAGGCTGAAAGCATTTTGCAGACCCGTTCTCCATATAACTCCGAAAACCCTCAGACTTATTTACATTTCTTAACAATTCTTTGTCTTTATTCTCCATAAAAAAAGGCAAATTAAATGTATTAAACTCTTTGAATATATGCTAAAGGCATATAAAAGGAATGTAATTTAAAAATATTCCATGAAAATCGTTTAATTTCGTTATTATTCTGAAGGTAATGAACGACTTCTGAGTATATTTCTCTTTAACAAATTGAAAATAATTTATTTCTACGGAGAATGTTTTGTCTCCATACAAACACACCAGCAACCACGTTTGCAAGAAATTACCTGAAAAAGGTTTAGTTTACTGAAAAGTCACTTGGACCTTCCATGTCTTCATACGAAACAATGTTTTTGTTTGTAGGTCCTGGAAAGGAGGAGGAATGGCTCTAAACCAAATGGAAGCAAGTATTTCGGTAAGTTAATCTCTTAATTTTATTATCATCAACGCCATTTTGATTTCTTACTATTTACTTAAGTGTTCCAATTTTGACAAAAGAACGTACTTGTATATTTAAGGTGTCTGTAAATAATATATTGAGAGTATACATATATGTACCTAAGCAAAGCTTAATAATAGAAGAAATTACAAAGTTATATAGCTCTATTGAGGAGCTCGAAAGTTGCACAGTTCTCCTGGCCTTGTTAGTGTAATTAAGCAAAGAAGACGCGGATGAGCGGGGTATCTTGAATGCGCAAAATAACAAAATCGTAACAATTTTGCTCAGAAAGCCTGTGGGAAATTAGAGAACATAAGAGCATTACGATAATAATAGACGTCAGAGGAAAAAGTCGTGGAGGATGTTGACTGAATGTGGCTGGCTCAGGATAGCGTAAATTTGCGTTATTCTTGCGAACAGAATAATAACTTTTGCAGTTCATAAAAGCTGCCAAGGTGTGAAAGATAGGCTTGTTACATAAGATCTCTTGTAGCTTAATGCTAAACTCGCTTTTAAGACGTGCACAGAGGAGGTTCTGCTGACTGAGCCATTGTGACGTGGACACTACACACACAATCCAGGACATAGTGCTATCTATGTATTTTCAGAACAAAACGTAGTCATTCGTCCACAATTAAGTTTTACTTGCAGTAAACGCTAGTGAGACTATTTTGTTTACTGAAACTATGCCTTACACGTGGCCGATGACAGTAGCAGCGCGCTTTAAGACATGGACTCTCTTCGTCTGCTAGAACGTTTATATCGTGTGTTCGAATCCAGCTCGAGGCATGGATATATGTGTGCGTTTATTCTGTGTTTGTGTTGTCCTGTGTGTAGGTAGCGGCCTTGCGAAGGGCTGATCACTCGTCCAAGGAGTCCTATCAACATTTTAAAAAAGACTGCGAAACTGAAAAAGCGGCCAGGTCCCAACAAAGGACTGTAGAGCCATTGATGAATGAACGAACGAACGAATGAATGAATGAATATCTTGAAAGTTACGTTTTGATTTGCGTAAATAAATAAACCCATCATCAGTAATCACTGAATTTTTTTAATCATGTGACTATTAATACTTAAGGGAAAATCTTGTGCCTCGAAATTAGTCGTGAATCAAAAACAAAAACAACAAAAACTCCTTGGCCTGTAGTCCGCAAGCGAACTATACCGACCGAGGGACCGATGCTTGTCGGCAAAGTTAGTACCAACTTTTGCGGATAGAGGGTGTCACGTGGTCGGCGCTACAGATCCCCACGGCCCTTAATCTCGGTTTTCTAAACCGGAGCCGCTATTATCTTGAAATAGCTCCTCAGTTATTTTCACAAGTTTGAGTGGATCCTGTTCCAGACCCGCTATTTCTCAGTAAATCTGGTAGCGCCGGGAATGGAACCCGGGAATCACAATAGGGCTCCCCCCCCTACATAAAACTGTTATTAAATTTTAAGGCATAAGACTCTGTAAACAGCACATAAAAACACACATACATTACTGTAATTTAAATAAATTGTGTCCACTTAAGTCCCCTCACAATTGACAATCCTAATTACCTCTGTGGTTAGGTTTCTCCCAACTAATTTTAGTGAGTCCTTATCAGATCTCGGAAACAGTTGGAACTGCAGTCTACATTGTAGACACATACCTCACTTAATGGAATTGTATTCCATCAGCGGTGTAACGAGGCTGCCGATATTGGTCGCACTGGTCCTGATCCTGATTGTATGATAATGAGCTGGTAATTGCGTGATTAACCCATTGTCCAGTCCTGCGAATAGTCTGGAACAAAGAAGAACTCGTCGTGAGGACCAGCTCTCTGGCCAGTAGACGAGTCTTGGATTGTATTCTGTTGTTGGAGCAAAAAAATTATTCTTAGAAGACAAATACTACGATAGACGTGTTATATCTCCTTCTTTGCGGATCAGTGGTTTTCGATGAGAATTTTCTACTGGATCTTCTGTTGCTTTATCCCACAAATATCTCAAAGGATCACACAAACTTGTATTGTAACCGTGCGTTTTTGTTCCCAAACACGGCCGGAAAGAGAGAGGAAAGGTGTTCTCCGGCGGAGTAACGTATTCAGATGTGTACATTGCGATTTTTCATACCTGATTGGACTCGATCTTCATTTGAAGTAGATAAAAACCTATTTTCAGATCTGATTGTAGTAGAGATATTGCGCTGCCGAATCGTAAACGTTCATGATACAAAAGTAAATTTATAATACAAATTTTAAATCTGAACTAAGCCATTACAGCACATATCTTCTTCAGAAGCTAAATGTTGCCCCGGTTCCCAAAAAAATCTTCCTCTCATCGAACACGAATTTTCGTTTCGAGTTCACTGAGGAAACTATGTATAATACTTTGTAATATGCTGGCGACTGTAATTGCGACTGGCTACGGCGTTGAACGGCCGATGAGTCAGAGTTCGAGTCCCGGTAGGATCAAGAATTTTCTTTTCTCCACGTTGTCCAGACTGGCTCTGGGGTCCACACAGCCTCCTATACAATGGGTACCGGAGCCCCTTTCCGGGAGGTAAAGTGGCCAGGGCGTGAAGCTGACCGCCCGCCTCCAACTAATGTCGAGGTCAATAAAAGGCGATTCTATATATCCACTCCCCATACGTCTTCAGCTGGCTTTTAAGGTGAGAATTTGCTACGTCAAAACCCAAATCCCCCGAAACTAGAAGTCCACCACTTGTAGGCTAACCGCAACTGCTTATTCGGTATACACGTATCCTAAGGTATGCTCCATCTGCAGCCTGAGGACTGGATATATCTTGGTGAGAATGCGATCCAGTCATTAGGGACATATTCTGTAAAATAAAAATTGTATAAAATATAGCTCGAACTATGTGTAAAGTAGTGCGTATAGTTGATGTGAAAGAGTCTAAATTAAATTATGTTAACGTTTAGCGTGTATTCTCTCTCTGTCTGCTGTTGCTCCCACTTGGAGCATTGGGCATCCAGGAAACGCTTTGTTTCACTTGAGTTTCTCAATCTCAGACAGTTGATAGGACTCACTGGACGGGGAATCAGCCCGTCGCAAGGCCGCTAATTATAAAAAAAAACACAGAATAAATACAAACATCTATGCCTTGAGTTGGATTTTAACCCACGATCCCAGCGTTCGAACGAGCGAAGACATTTCTTGCCTTAGACCGCGCCGCCACTGCGGTCGGCTTACTGTGTATTAGAAGCACAAATTTCATGAATATATTCCGAATTGTATTTAATATGAAACATGCGGATGTACAGGAAGGCGCACACAACCCCCCGCCCCCCAATATGTGTTCAAGTTATGCGGACTGAAAATATGTTTTTAATATCCACCCACTTCATCTAAGTTGCAACAAAATGTTATAAAAATTGTCAAAACTGTTAATAGGGACGGAATATAAAATTTTCATCTCACTAACTTACATAATTTTGATTTAGAACATTGTCTGTCTTCAGAAGATGGTTATTTCTGGGAATATGCATACACATATAAGAATCACAATTTAATGTAATTAATCACCATGATATTCGGGCCTAGAAAACCGCGATTAACAGCCGGGGGGTCCGTTGCGCTGACCACGCGACACCATCTATCCGAAAAAGTTGACACTAACTTCGCCGACAAGCGGCGGTCCTTCGGTTGCGAACTACAGGCCACAGAGTTTAATCACAACGACATTGTGGCGTTGGTACATAAGGAGTTGAAATTGAACATCATAAATTCTTAAAACTCTGCGCTAGATGTAAGTAAGTGGTCAGCTTTCCACTCTCCGCTCCCTGCAGCCGGAAAAAAAATATAACCTAAAATGTGATATTACCTTCTGTAAGTAATGTGTTGATCACCTGCAACAGAATTAAATATTTGTGAAATGGAGCAGTCATAGGAGCGGACGAACACTATGGCTCCAAAATTTCTTATTTGTTTCTTAAATATAAGTTCACGCTATATATAATCAACCAGTGTGAGATGAGAAACGTTCTGATGGGTGAAAAAATTATTTTATTATATTTGAATTGGAGTTCGACGTGTTCACTCACAATCTATTGCAATATTTGTCTCGATTTTCCTTAGTTTCCTACACCAAAAATATAGTATCTGACTGTGTTTCCTGCACGCTTTGATGATTTGTTCTTGATGCACACGGGAACTCCCTTCTTATTTACATAATTGTGGTATGAAACACACTCCACACATTTCCTTGTCGACAGTCTGACCAATAAGATTCTCAGAACCAATTTACCTCTCCCTCTTTCTTAAGGATTCCTGAACAGAGTTTATGAAGCATTGCTTCATTCCAATAGCATATATGCTTATTGAATACAATGCCATATGGCACGTCGCTGCGCCATATGAACAAGGGCCCGGTGTGATTGCCGAAAGCAATGAACACACGCAAGACCCCATAATTAAGCTTCCCTCGAACGATGCCGCATCCCTTACTCTTCGTCTCGCATTCTCCATTGCAATAGGCAATCTGCCAAACAATAGTCTTCTGTATCGCGCCTTGTGCATTCGTAATTGAAGACATTTCAACAAACCCCCTACAGAGCAGGTTCTTTTCAGCGTCAATCCATATTGCATTCCAGAGATTTCCATTTCGGCTCTCGTCTCAGTAAATTCTGGAGTCCTTAATCCATACACGCTCTTAATTTTTTTTTAATTCGCTTAGTGGGGTGTGGAGTCCAACTGGGTCCACTCGGCACGGCGGCCACTGATTGGCCTACTGTACCTGCTTCGGGTGATTATGATGATGAAGAATTTGGTGAAATGAAGATTGGCAGGGGAAACCGAAGTACTCGGAGAAAACCCGCCCCAGCGCCAATTTGTCCACCACAAATCCCACTTGACCAGACCCGGGATCGAACCTGGGCCGCCGCGGTGGGAAGCCAGCGACTAACCGCTTGAGCTATGGCGCGGCCATACACACTCTTAATTCGGCGATAATCGAGAAAATGGATTATTTCCTGTTTTTATTATTATGTA